TGCTTTACATAATTATATTAACATAAATATAAAAGTAATTACATTATATTTGATACTATTTATTAATTAATTTTAAAATTTAAGTGATTAAAAACAATGAAATGTGTCACTATTTATTTGTTTGAAATATTGTTAGGTCAATATTTAAAAATGTACATAATAAAACATAGTTATTATTCAATATATTTATGTCATAATTAGATTTCTAATATACTTAACTCTTTTCTCAAATTCTATATCCACTAATGTTTTGTATACGTTCCATCTTTTTGTTATTTTTATTTACTTTAAATGATTTCCAAAAATATTGTATTTCGTGTGCCCACAGGGTAGGACATAGTTGAACTTGATTATATAATAATGTATCTAACATCTACGTAATACCTATGATCCACGAAATAAATGATTATGATTATGATTATTATCAGTTCAGTCAGCTAAGAACATAGATATAAGAAAGAAGTTGTTTATTATATTTCTATGGCTAAGAACGAATTTTACGAAATTCCACCCACAAGGGGGTTTCGTGGGCGTTAATAGGTATAAAACTTGGCCAGATAATTCTTTTTGGCATGTTAAAAATTACCAAGAACAGATTTTATGAAATTCCACACAAAAAGGGCAGTGCCCCCCGCATTTAAAAACAAAAATAATAAAACTTTTAATGTATAGCTCCTACAGGTTTGATATTTGGCGAAATTATTATTTTTGTCATTTTGAGTTCAACTGAGAACGAATTTCCACTCAAAAAGGGGATTGCGGGGGCTTTATAATGAAAGTTAAAAAAATTATTAATCTCTATATAAAAAAATCAATTGCTGTCCGTTAGTCTCGCAAAAACTCGAAAAGGCTGGACCAATTTTGATGATTTTTTTTTATTTTTTTTTGTCTTTTAAAAAAACGTTACCCCCACACTAGGATTTTCTCCTGTATCGTGGAGGCAGTTTACAAACACAAATTGCACGAGGACAAACATCCAGACCCGAAATAACTATCTGTAGGCCATACAAATACTTGTTCCGTGCGGGATTCGAACCCACGACCCCCAACACAACAACTCATTGCTAAGCCACTGCGCCACGGAGCTGTGACGTGTTGGTCCCTGGATGCTCTAAACGATTCAAAATTGGCCCCGGTAAGTGGCGCTGTAAATGCAGAATGCTGTTGAAATGCAGAAATCACCCGTGCGAAGCCGGAACGGATTGCTAGTTGGGTATAAATGCGCCGGCGATCGGGAAATCAATTATTTCGGGAACACGAAGTGAACTCTACTTCGGAAAACCACTACGAGCAGTCGACCTACTACATCTGCGATTACTAAGGACCTCGACGAAGAAGATTAGCGATTTTGTTAGCCGTGATTCCTAATCGGCATTTTTACTCAACCCGCACATATTTTGCCTTACATCCCATTTTTAATACTTAACTGATAACCTTTAACGTACTTAAGTATATTAAAATACAATTTAATTATAATTTGATTAAATTAAACTATTGTGCCGTGTTATTGTATAGTGCAATTTGTATTGAAGTACTGAAAATACGAATCGATATTAAATCTATTCGTATTTTAAGGTGAATAAACTTTCGTCCATTGCTTCCAATGAATCATTATCATAAAATTAAAAAGTTTTAATTAGGTAACAATAGTTTGGCGCGAAGAAATGCTTAAACCTTTTATATTGTGTTCATTGTACGGGTAGACATTTGTTTATCTAGATAGGACATAAGTAAGAGGTGACAATTTTGTTGCTGATGTCCGGTCTATTACTACTATGTCTACTATGTCTTTGTTTACAACAGAAGCTTTGTATTTGATACTGGATGTGGATCCGATTTGCTGCACGGTTTCGTGCACGTTTGTATTTTCCAACCTTTTTTTAAAATTGAAGTTTGACATAAAATTATTGGAAAATTGGAAGTATAATAATAAGGTTGAAACTTGTGTGTTTTTAAACTACTTCAAAAATTTACATATAATCATGTTATAAGTAATTTTTTTTAATGCGCATAACACATGCATGCACAATTGGATTTACCAATAGTTTTTTCTACTACTACTGTCCTTTATTTTTGTTTTTATTTAAAATATTAACGAGTCTATAAAAGTTTATTGGAGACTGTCGTAGCTACGAGACGTACGTCATCCATGTTTAAAAAATCTACTTTTAATGAATACACAGTACAGATTGAAGAAAAATGTGCTATAATACAGCGTTTAGATAATGAGCCTTAGAAGATTTGTTCAACTCCCAGTGCGTCCGAAGCTCTGAAAGCCGCAGAAGTGCTGAATGTGTTGTGCATTCTAATTTTGATATTGGCACTATGAAAAGTATTATTGCTCGTCTTCACAATTCTGTACGTAGTTCTTTCTATCGAACAAAAATCAATCAAAAGCAAACTAAAATTGCAGACTTTTCACGCAAGTAAAATAAATACTTTATTAACATTGCATTATATTTGCATTATCTTACCTACATATGTTACCTACATTTCAAGGTCACAGAATTCAGGGAGGCAATTACTTGAATGATTCATAAATACGAGCATTAGGAAGGTGAAAGTCCTCAGACCTATACACCACGTCTGCCAGCAAGCGACATAGGTATGTGTACAGAACATACTACCGATGCGCACAGAACTCTTATATGCTGAATATGACAGAAAACCCACCCAGGTTTTGCGGGAAAAAAGGCAGAAGGACGCTGCTAATATATTTTAAAATCTTTGGAAACGAAGGGCACACAACGTAAATTTGCAACAACGACAACAACAACACTTGTTCAATTTGCTATGTTTTATTAGGAGGGGATTGTTACATATGAAAATCTTTAGAATAAAATAGAATAATTTTTATTCAATATACATTACATGTGTAATTCTTATTGAAAGTCATTTTTTACTTTACCACTGGTTCGAAAAAAGCCCTCTGTCCTGGGAAGAACCAGCAAGAAACCCAGCGGGACTTTTTTTTAAAAATAAATTTTACAATATTAATGATTACGAACTATTTACAAAATTTGTTTTAGAAACTGCTTGGAAGCGACCACCTTATTTCCAGGGGTTATTATCAACCATGTACTCATTTATACTATAATAACCCTTTTTATATAGTTTCAGCTTAATAAAACATTTAAACTTGGTAATAGAAAGAACCTGTACACTTTCCGGGACCTTGTTGTAATAGCGTATACATTGCCCCAAGAATAAATTACTGACTCTGTGGAGTCGAGATACTGGCATCACTAGCTTGTGTTTGTTCCTAGTGTTTACAGAATGTATATCACTTTTTTTTACTAAAACTATCTTTGTTTTTATGAACATAAACATACATTATATTTTCGTAAATATACTGAGAAGCCAAAGTTAATATATTTATTTCTTTAAATTTATCTCTAAGAGACTCTCTCGGGTTTAAATTGTAGTAAAGCTCTAATGGCCCTCTTCTGTAAAACAAAAATAGTTTCTGAATCAGCCGCATTTCCCCTTAGCAAAATCCCATAAGACTTATGCTATGGAAATAACTGAAATAAAATAAACTAGCTGTCTCGACGCTAGTGAGACCTCTAATCTTTTTTACAGCATAGGCTGCAGAACTTAGTCTGCTTGCTAATTTGGATATATGGGGGCCCCATTGAAGCTTTGCGTCGAGAGTGATGCCAAGAAAAACAGTGGATACAACAGGGCTCAATTCCTACCCATTTAAAAACACATCGGTATTCAGATAATTTAACATTCGTTGTTGTAAATTTAACACAATTAGTTTTATTTCCGTTCAAATGCAGATTATTAACGTTAAACCAATGCACTAATTTTGATATAGCATTATTCACTTCGTCACATTTAAATGATTGACATTTAAGTTTAAAAATCAAGGAAGTATCATCATCAAATAATACTATATCGTGACTATCCCCTACGAAGTGAGGTAAGTCATTAATATACACCAGAAACAGGAATGGGCCGAGAATCGAGCCCTGAGGGACACCCATTAGTACAGGTTTATTAGTTTATTAGTCTTTTATCATAAATACATATTTTTTGATGATTTTGTACGCTTTGAAATAATAAGCAATGCCAATAAAGTTTATTTTTAAAATGAAATTAGCTATTTACTTTCTTTCATTACTCTTGACATAGAACTCCCTCAAAGAAACCACTCGAACTGTAACAACCGTAGAGGGCTGAAGAACCTGTTTGATAGTAAAAAGTAATAAAATGTGTCTCTTGGCAATAACACTGGCTTCGGACTGACTCAAAAAGAAACACGTCGTGTTTCCAAAAGGTTACACACATCGTACAACGTGTAAGAACTGATGTAAGAAAGGGGCACTTTACCATAAAGTTAATTGGTTAAGACGAGGAAGTGCCTCTTTTCTACCGACTTCAAACAGGAGGAGGTACTCAATTCGACTGTTTTTTTTTGTGTGTTGCCTCATAACTTGTTTCTGGGTAAACTGATTTCGATGATTCTTTTTTATTTGAAAGCTGATGCTTCACATGTAGTCCCATAGAAATTTGATCAAAGTGTGACAAATAGTTTTTGAGTTATTCGTTATAATTTACATTGAAGTCGGTTGTACAAAATTTTTAATTTTTAATTATTTGTCTAAATCGTATTAAAAACGATATTGATAGCGCTGTTATTGCACTCTTGTATAAAATTATAGTGAGAAGAGAACTGCATCTTTTTAATCAGACGAACATTTAAAAAAACAGTAAGATTCTTGTGGAATTTCTAAATAGAGGTTAAGCCACTGTCAGCGGCCTGTACAAACAATATGGTGTTTGTACGCGAATTAATATTTTGATGATCTGCGTAATATTTAGCTTATTGCCGGCGATTTGATAAAACTCGTTATCGTAATGTGAGGGAGACGCCATTAAAACAGGCCTCCGAACTCCGAACGTTACGTCACCGTCACGTTCAGTTTGTACTCGGACTCGATCGGCGCACACGCAAACGTGCTTCGCGTTATTGCAAAAAAAGATCCCGAAAAATGTTCCCGTTGCGTCGCGTTGGTAACAAGGTGCGTTAGTGTATTTTAAAGTTATTCCTGTTTTAATATGTTTGGTATATTTGTGATTATATGGAATGCAAATCAATATATTCACAAGTGACGAAATAAGAAAAATTCATTCCAGTCTAATTTAATTTTGTACGGTGTTCGTGTTATGTGTAATTTTTTATCTGTTTCATTGATTTTAAAGGCCAACTGATACAGTGAAAGCAATAAATAACTGATGGCCAGTAACGAATTTGAGAATTTTAGATATAGAGCTTTAAATATTTCAAGTGCCCATTTACTAATTGCAAACAAATTTAACATTATTTTCGCATATAGCTCTGCTGAGTTGCTTAGTTTCTTTAACTCATTCAGTTGTTTATTAGTTTCAATTTCATCATCTCATTTTATTAAATACTCGTTTGTCCCACTAGACATAATAATTTATGTAGTAGAACCATGCTGCAGATACATATACTATGGTTGTAGCACGAATGGATCGGCTCGACCGGGGAAGGACCACGCCTCTCACATACGAGGATAGTTGTAGAGGTCTATAGCCCACAGCATTCACTTACCATCAAGTGGACTGTATGCTCGTTTATCACCCTTATTCTATATATATAAAAAAAATTTTTAAACGTATCATGGATTTTTAATTTCAATAATCAAACAATCCATTTATACATTTTATTAAGTCGGTTGCGGGACCGTATGAAACAAAAACAAAAATATTTTATTTTATTTATTAACACAATACAGTTTACAGTTGTGGAGATAAAAGTTTCTTAAAATCAGTAAACAATATTAGATTTATATATTTCCATATCAATAAAAAGGTTTGGAGTCAAGAAAATATAGGTACCTACCTACTCGATGTTTTTAGAGTTCATTTTCATACAAGGAAAAGAAGTTGATATCATTTTAGACCACATCCTCGTCTTACTAATAAACTGGGTGATACGTGATATTTGATACACTATATACCTACCTACAAATATATATATATATATATATATATATATATATATATATATATATATATATATATATATATATACTCACTTTGCCTATGTTCAGCAGTGTGATTACTTACGATGGACTGTAATGATGATGATGGTGATACACTAAAAAATATAAAACACTAACTTATTCTAAGATCGAAAATATAAAATATTATGGTTTATTGCATTACTACGAGTAATATAATGAAAGCAATTACGAAGACCTTAATACAGACGAACAGCTGTCAAAGCACATAGAACCTTAAAACTGCATACAAATTATGTTGAAACTCTATTAAAACTAGTTGATTGTAATCATGCCGATAATAATATATTATTTGTTATAATAATACATTCTACTGGCTAATGTTTTTCCTTTTTATTTTTCTGTTGTATTGCTGATAGTTTTATAAACAGTATTTTTCAATTATAATTGTAAGTACAATGTCTTTACTCAAGTGTCAGAATACATTTTATAAGCGGAGATTAAGTACCTACCATGTTTCTAAAACAAAAATGTGAAAATAATATAGGCTACTTCGTGTGAAAAGATTCGGAGTAGACTTAGCTTGTTTAATCTCTTACATTATTTTAAATAATCTAAGTTTAATCCACAAACGTCGTTGATGTCTGTTGTTTTAGTGTTTGGTGTTATTTTAATTAAGTGGTCATTAAAGATGAAGTAATTATAATTTTAGATATAATAAGATAAAATATATTTACGTATATATTTACCAAACTAAGCTTTGAATGTTTTGATTTTGTAACTACCTATGAGTTATTAACAATGATATACTAAAAAGGCTTTTTGTATATCAATGGTTATTAAAGATATTTTAAAATTTTTGTTCACTATTCCAACAAAACATCTCTTTTCGGGCAGTTTATCATAAAATGTTTTACAGATCCTGGAGCAATGGCGGGCGCCGATTGCAGCCGCCATAAAACCTCAGAGAAATTACAGCTCAGAAGCGACACCACGGCCTTTGACCATGTTAACCGAGGATGAGCTGGCCATGAAGGAAACAAGTAAAGCTTTTTTTATTTTTGCTTCATTATTGTACTTATAGATTAAATACGACAGTGTGATCATCCCCTGTCAAGCCGGCCTGCCAACGGCAATAATACTATAAAGTACATGTAAAAACCAAATTATTCGTTCGGAAATTTAAGACGACCCTAAAATGAAACTTTTTTAATTATTTCGGTAGTTGTTCTACCAGTGTTACGTTTTATACTTAAACGGATTCTTCGTGCACTTTTTGCATTGTAGAACGGGCTTATGACTAAAACTAAACGTTCTTCTGATAAAGAAAACAAGGTACCTATACATGGTATATTGTGAAGTAATTGATTACCGGACTACCACGTCCTGGGTGGGTGGTCCAAGTTCGTAACTAAATCACATATGGATGCAGGTGACAGTGTTTTGCGCCATTTCGTGGGGTAGGCCTATGGTGTATGACGATGGTGTTATCTGATATTAATGTTACCCAGCCATCTTCTCTATTCAAATTAGGATACTTTTGGACTACTGGACTTAGGTCGTTTTTAAAATGTACCAGTTTGCAGACGCTGACACAACGTTTTCCCATACTCATCACGCTAGTCCAATGAGTTGGTGATCTCAGAGGCGATACCCTCGCAATGATGATACTGTTTCCCATCACCCGTAAATGTTGATGCTATAGCATCTACGTTTGCGTTTTTAGATGAATTTCCCACCATTCTGAGCCTCTTTCGTATAAAGAGTTATGAGAAACGGAGACCCTTATTCACTGGTAACGAGGCATTTCATCTTAGTCCTCAGGGGTGACAACGCATTTGTATTTGGATTTTTAAATCAAGAATATAGATTTTTAACTCACCTGGTCAAATCAGGTGGGCACGTAGCCCGTTTAGCTCACCCTTAATTTTACAAAGTTTTTATTACCCCGCTTTCGTGTATGTCTGTTCGATCGAATTTAGTAGGCTTTTAAACTAATTTCCCGGTGAGCTTGAAATTTCAAACACATCTCAAAATCGGATTACAATGTAAGAATATGAAATACATAATTTTATTGTATAGAAACAAAAAACACATGATTTTATCTGATTCTTAGCTTTTGACGAATGCTTATAATTATAGATTAAATATTACTTACTTGATACTACAAACTGATAACATTGACGTGTAATTATAAAGTAAAAAATTTTGCTTCTTTGTTTCGCGTATGGTGAGTGTCGAGACGCCGATACTATTTTGACTGGTAGCGAGGCATTTCATCTTAGTCCTCAGGATAGTGAACCGGAGACGCTCTATACTTGAAAAGAGGCATTTTAGTCCTCAGGGGTGACAACGCATCAGCATTTTGAGTCTTAATAGAAGATAGATGTAGATGTCTATGTGCCACGGCTTATTCTTTAAAAACACAGCTGTTTCATTAAAAACATTTATCAACGTCATATTTTTATCTTTTAATAATATTGCTTTTTAATTACAAACACTTTATAACGTCTTAACTTGAACCTATTATTTATTCTGTGTTTGTTCACAATAATATTTTAAAATTATTTAGTAAATTATTACTTGGGAAATCTCAACTCGATGAAATGGCAAGAAAACCTCATGACCTTCAATAGTAGAATAGAATAGAATAGAATATTTTTTTATTCAATATACATTACATATGTAATTCTTATTGAAAGTCATTTTTTACTTTACCACTGGTTCGAAAAAACCCTCTGTCCTGGGAAGAACCAGCAAGAAACCCAGCGGGACTTTTTTTTAAAAATAAATTTTACAATATAAATGATTACGAACTATTTACAAAATTTATTTTAGAAACTGCTTGGAAGCGATCACCTCATTCCCAGGGGTTATTATCAACCATGTATTCATTTATACTATAATAACCCTTTTTATACAGTTTCAGCTTAATAAAACATTTAAACTTGGTAATAGAGAGAACCTGTACACTTTCCGGGACCTTGTTGTAATAGCGTATACATTGCCCCAAGAATGAATTACTGACTCTGTGGAGTCGAGAAACTGGTATCACTAGCTTGTGTTTGTTCCTAGTGTTTACAGAATGTATATCACTTCTTTTACTAAAACTATCTTTGTTTTTGTGAACATACATTAAATTTTCGTAAATATACTGAGAGGCCAAAGTTAATATATTAATTTCTTTAAATTTATCTCTAAGAGACTCTCTCGGTTTTAGATTGTAAATAGCTCTAATGGCCCTCTTCTGTAAAACAAAAATAGTTTCTGAATCAGCCGCATTTCCCCATAGCAAAATCCCATAAGACATTATGCTATGAAAATAACTAAAATAAACTAATCTAGCTGTCTCGACACTAGTGAGACCTCTAATCTTTTTTACAGCATAGGCTGCAGAACTTAGTCTGCATGCTAATTTGGATATATGGGGGCCCCACTGGAGCTTTGCGTCAAGAGTGATGCCAAGAAAAACAGTGGATACAACAGGGCTCAATTCCTCCCCATTTAAAAACACATTGGTATTCAGATTTTGAACATTCGTTGTTGTAAATTTAACACAATTAGTTTTATTTCCGTTCAAATGCAGATTATTAACGTTAAACCAATGCACTAATTTTGATATAGCATTATTCACTTCGTCACATTTAAATGATTGACGTTTAAGTTTAAAAATCAAGGAAGTATCATCAGCAAATAATACTATATCATGACTATCCCCTACAAGGTGAGGTAAGTCATTAATATACACCAGAAACAGGAATGGGCCGAGAATCGAGCCCTGAGGTACACCCATTAGTACAGGTGACCCGGAAGAACTTTTACCATTGATAATAACCTTCTGTTTTCTATTACTTAAATATGAAATAATAAGTTTAAGCGCTGTGTTCTTGACACCATAGTACTGTAGCTTCCTGATTAATGTCTCATGGTGAACACAGTCGAAGGCCTTGGAAAGGTCACAAAATATACCCAAAGCATCCTCTGAATTCTCCCATGCACAAAAAATATGTTTAATAAGCTCAACTCCAGCGTCAGTTGTCGAGCGACCCCTTGTAAAACCGAATTGATTATTATGTAGCAATTTATTAATATTAAAGAAACTTAACATCTGATCTAAAATAATTTTTTCAAAAATTTTACTTAATGTTGGTAGTACAGAAATTGGTCTAAAATTGGCGGGGTCTAATGTACTACCAGATTTAAATATAGGTATGACTTTACTATGTTTCATTAAATCAGGAAACACACCAGATTCGACGCTTATATTAAATATAGTGGCTAGATAAGGTGCTAATGTATCTATTATAGATAAAATAACTTTAACGGAAATCCCCCATAAGTCTGCCGTTTTCTTAACATCAATAGTTTTAAAATATTTAACGATATCTTTTGGCAGTACCCTATAGAATTTAAAAGTATTTGAACAAGCCTTTACATTTTGTTTGAGCAATGATTCGGCGACAGTAGGAGAAGAATTTAATGATTTTGTTGTCAAAAAAGGAACATCAGTAAAATGTTTCTCAAAAGCCATAGCAACTTCTTTATCAGATCGGGTTAAATTATTGTTAATATTCAATAGAAAATCCGAGTTGCGCGGTTTGACCTTGCCCGTTTCACTATTTATTATTCTCCAGGTCATTTTAATTTTGTCGGATGCAGTTTTAATTTTGTTGCTTAAATGTAAAGCCTTAGCAGTGGAGCACACTTTTTTAAATATTTTAGAATATGTTTTTACATAATCTCTAAATATAACACTACTATTATATGATCTTTCATCATAAAGCTCGTATAACCTTCGCCTACTTTTATAAATTCCTACTGTCGCCCATTCATTAAATGATTTGCGACTGTTAAAAGAGAAAGTTTTAGAAGTAAATATTCTACTAAATTCACAACGTATAATTTCAAATAATGTAGCATACAAATAATTAGCACTATTTTTAAACGAAAGTGATGGAAGTCTTTTTATTATATTACTTCTAAACCTCTCCAAGCGATGTTCATTTATTGGAACAAACACAACTTTCTTATTTTTCTGTTTTTTGTGTATGTAAGGTAGTGATACTAACTGTCCACAGTGATCTGAACTCAAATTTTGAATAATTGATTTATGCAAGGGCTTAACATCTGTAAAAATGTTATCTATACAGGTCGCACTAGGCCCAGCAATACGTGTTGGTTCTAAGAATAAATTTACAAGATTATACGATTTAAACAATGAGCTAAACTTAATACTAATGGAACAAGTTTCAAGGAGATTGATATTAAAGTCTCCACACATTACAACAGACTTGTTCTGTTTACTAAGTTTGAGTAAAACTTCTTCCACAATCCTTTCAAAATGGTCATAAGTAGCACATGGGGGTCTGTAAACACTTACAACAATGAGGTGCTCGAGCTCGACACAAGCCATTTCTACAGTTCGTTCAACAGAGAGGCTCACAATATCCTTACGTTCTTTATATAATAATGATTTATCTGCTAATATTAAGGAGCCACCACGTAAACTTTTTTCTCTATTGAAGGAACTAACCACCTGGTGATTTCTGAAATTAAACATGAAATTATAATCTTTTAGCCAATGTTCAGTAATACAAAGGATGTGTATATTGTTACTATTTAAAAACAATTCAACTTCCAATTCTTTGCCCAACATGCCTTGTATATTTTGATGCACCAGGTGTAAACAATTTTTATTACTTATTTGTGAGCTGTATTCAAAATTAATTAAACTCTTATTATTGCTAGAGATTGCCTCTATTGTCACATTCACTAATTTAAATTAGTTGGAACTGATTCCAAATTAAATGTCAAATGATTTTGCTCAATAAAAGCAGTCTTGGTAGCCAAAAACTTGGCTGAGTTAAAAAGTAAATAATAAGATAGCACATTTGCTATCAGTCTTAAATTATATTTGGATAGGTAATACCTATCTTTTGTCCAAAACTTTTTTATTAAATTATTTATGTCAATTACATGAAATTTATGATTATTATCATTAGAATTATATGTCAAATTTAAATTATTATTAGATATTAAATTA